TATGTGAATGAATGACTATTGGATAATATGTGAATGAATGACTATTGGATAATATGTGAATGGAGGACTATTGGAAAATATGTGAATGAATGACTATTGGATAATAAGTGAATGGATGACTATTGGATAATATGTGAATGAATGACTGTTGGATAATATGTGAATGAATGACTATTGGATAATATGTGAATGAATGACTATTGGATAATATGTGAATGAATGACTATTGGATATTATGTGAATGGAGGACTATTGGATATTATGTGAATGGAAAACTATTGGATAAAATGTGAACGAGAATATCGGATAATATGTGAATGAATTACTATTGGATAATATGTGAATGAATGACTATTGGATAATATGTGAATGAATGACTATTGGATAATATATGAATGAATGTCTATTGGATAATATGTGAATGAATGACTATTGGATAATATGTGAATGGAGGACTCTTGTATAATATGTGAAAGAATGACTATTGGATAATACAATGTATGTGAATGGAGGACTATTGTATAATATGTGAATGAATGACTATTGGATAATTTGTGAATGAATGACTATTGGATAATATGTGTATGAAGGACTATTGTATAATATGTGAATGAATGACTATTGGATAATAAGTGAATGGAGGACTATTGGATAATATGTGAATGAATGACTATTGGATAATAAGTGAATGGAGGACTATTGGATAATATGTGAATGAATGACTATTGGATAATAAGTGAATGGAGGACTATTGGATAATATGTGAATGAATGACTATTGGATAATAAGTGAATGGAGGACTATTGGATAATATATGAATGAATGACTATTGGATAATATGTGAATGAATGACTATTGGATAATATGTGAATCAATGACTATTGGATAATATGTGAATGAATGACTATTGGATAATATGTGAATGAATGACTATTGGATAATATGTGAATGAATGACTATTGGATAATATGTGAATGAATGACTATTGGATAATATGTGAATGAATGACTATTGGATAATATGTGAATGAATGACTATTGGATAATATGTGAATGGAGGACTATTGGAAAATATGTGAATGAATGACTATTGGATAATAAGTGAATGGATGACTATTGGATAATATGTGAATGGATGACTATTGGATAATATGTGAATGGATGACTATTGGATAATATGTGAATGGAGTACTATTGGATAATAAGTGAATGGAGGACTATTGGATAATATGTGAATGAATGACTATTGGATAATATGTGAATGAATGACTATTGGATAATATGTGAATGGAGGACTATTGGAAAATATGTGAATGAATGACTATTGGATAATAAGTGAATGGATGACTATTGGATAATATGTGAATGAATGACTATTGGATAATATGTGAATGAATGACTATTGGATAATATGTGAATGAATGACTATTGAATAATATGTGAATGAATGACTATTGGATATTATGTGAATGGAGGACTATTGGATATTATGTGAATGGAAAACTATTGGATAAAATGTGAACGAGAATATCGGATAATATGTGAATGAATTACTATTGGATAATATGTGAATGAATGACTATTGGATAATATGTGAATGAATGACTATTGGATAATATGTGAATGGAGTACTATTGGATAATATGTGAATGAATGACTATTGGATAATATGTGAATGAATGACTATTGGATAATCTGAAATCTGGGAGTGTAGATTCATTTAATGAGACTACTTTGACAGTGAGAAGTCTGCATTCACCATCTGTCATTTTAATACATTGATAATTCTATCTTTTCATATCTATAGGTATATTGATTGACCATATTTTATATCGACTTGATTGGTATTTTAAATGTCCTGTTTATAAAGTATCTTTTATGGGAATAATTTTTGCTATTTTCTTCAGGTAAGTTAGTGAATTATTTAATGGGTGAGCTTACTTAGGTCTTACCATGTACATGTCAATTTTCCCATTCTGTGACATTCACTCTCCAAATTAAAAATCCAGCTGAACTTTTGCTATCAACCATCAATATATGTTAAAAAAGAAGTCAAGGCTAACAACATAATAATAACAACATAATAATCTCCGATAAAAGAGCTCGCAAATGTAAGGACATGCAGTTTACAGTTTATTTATATAACTTTTCATTCTCTAGATATTCAAATATCACCAGTATTATGTCTTGATTCTTCAGCAAAGGATTATGGGTGAAGTATGACATCATATCCTGTTGTCAGAAATTGAGAAAATGATTTCATCTATAACTTCAAAAGTTGAACTTCAAATTGGCTGAAAGTTTAGAATATGGTAGCATACATATTCTGGTGCAAATCATGCAAATCAAATAGTTGTCATGGAAACAGTACTGAAAATATTAATTTTTGTGTTTTTCTACCAAATGCTCAAATTTCCTTATATTGTATACAATTTACGGATGTGAGTAGGTTATGTAGGTGATATATAACCTGTCGACCACAAAAAGGGGACTAAAAAGTGTAATTCTATTTTTAACGACTAAAACAATGATTTTTGCCTTTCCTGTATGTAGTGTAGTGTGGGAAGGTATAGTTAGGGGAAGATGGCGTCATTGTAGTTGTTGTTGGCGTGACTTGTGGGTGTGATAACTCAAGTAATTTTTACACGATCGGTTTCAAATTTATGTATGTTATAAATAAACATGCAAAGATGGCCAAGTTCACTGTTGGTGAATTTTGCTTGCATAATTAATACGAGCGGGCTACTGATTGGTTGTCTCTTGTGGGTGCGATAACTCAAGTAATTTTTACCTAATCGATTTCAAAGTTACATATGTTATAAACAAAGGTGTAAGGATAACCAAGTTCAATATTGGTGCACTTTACATGCATAATTAATGATATGTAGTAATTATTTTTTCAGTTAAAACATAATTGTTGTGAAAGCTTTGTTCAGTTAAAGAAAGTAATTTTAGTGTTTTGAAATTCAATCCTCTTAATCTGTATCAGGATTTAACGAGAAAATCTATGGTGTAGAATTTTCAGAATTTTCCATTGTTGTGTGATTATGTATACATTTTCATCTTATTGGAACCAGTGCCATCTTAAGTTCATTATAGAGAAATGCCTTTGTTTTTACTCTAGTTAATATTTGACCTTTGTGTGAAGTCACTGTATGGTAATTAGATGTGTTCAAAGTTTATTTTCAAACACATTTGTCAGTTTATACTTTGAGCAGTAATCTTCTCAATTAACCTGCATTGGGTTAATTTTGTACTATGTGTATCATTTCATTTCCATTGTGTGACTTGAATATGTTTTTCCATTTTATTATAATGAGGGTCATCTGGAGTTTATTATTAGAAAATATTCAGACTATTGAGTTAACTTTTCACAATTATATAAGTGTCATTCCAATATTATCATTATTTAGAATGCCTCAACCTAAGAAAAGTTTTAGACTAAAACGCGAACAAAATTGTAAATACTGTACATGTAGGAAAAATGAGCATGCTAGTCACAGCCTCAACAGTACAGTAAACAACAAAACCTTGAAGTAAGTAGTGAAGTATTTCCTCAGTCAGGTAATCATGTAGAATTAGATGTTGTTACCCATAAAGTTTATAATCTTATGGATCAATTAATGAACAAACTTAACAGACTAACGAATCAAAGTGAAATATCTTCAAATGTAATGCAATTACTAAATCAGTTTCACCTGTATCAAAAGAATATTGTGAGTACTGATTGGATAGTTGTTATAAATGAACTCCCTGGTGCTAAACGTAAAAACCAAGGTTATTGTCAATCAGAGTCAAGAAAAAAAATATCTCACAACTGGAGAAGGAAAGATATTCAAGGAGATTAAGTAGGGAATTAATAGAACAATTGGAAAAGGAGAAAAATGCAATGAGATTAAAGAGGAAAATTAGAGAAGGAGAATGCGATGAGATTAAAGAGGAAAAATATAGAACATTTAGAGAAGGAGACAAATGCAATGAGGTCACATCACATAATCAACACCCCTTTCACAAATTTATAGCTTTGAGTGATATTTGGTAGTAAGAAATGAATATTATGTTATAAAATTTCACTATTTCAAGAATTTAGCCAATTCTTGGTATCAACTTAACCAGTTGTATCAACTATTCCCTTGTGGGCAAAGTTTCAACAGTTTTGCTATGTTTATTTTATTTATGTTTGTGGCAATATCTTCTCTTTATGTGCATTTATAACATTCTAATTTCCATTACTATAATGATATACTTGAGTTATATACACCCCTGAAAATTTGAACAAATTCGCATCAGTATTTCTCATGGATGAAAGCATTTTCTCAATTTTTCACAACAGTGGATATGATGTCACACTTTACCCACAGTCCTTTGCTGGAGAATCGAGATGGCAGACTACATAATATTGGCGATAGAAAAGTGATATACAAAAACTGTAAATTGTATTCTCCTACATTTGTAGAATAGTATTTTATAAGTAGGAACATCTTATTTTTTGGGTTCCATAACTTGTTTCAAAATGGCCAAAAACACTATATCATATACCAATAAATCAAACATTTCTCAGACGTGCCTGAGTCTATATTATTCAAAAATCATGCATTAGGGTTGATTTTTTGTGTGATTTGATTCCGAATGTGACTGGTTGTCTTATGGGTTTTATTTTCATGTGTCTTTAACTATGTCTCAAACATTGTCAAACATTGTCATGGCAATCTTTATTCATTACCACATTTACTTGATTAGGTTACTTGTCATTCAAAGCCATTAAGCAGATTTCTACATCACAAGACTAATTGGTTCACTTGTTGCTAAAAAGGATATCACATGTATCTATGTGACTAGACAAAATTCGTAAATTAATTTGTCTTGTAAAACAACTTATCAGAAATCTCAAACTTATGGCTGATTGATCAGAAAATTCAGACAAACATACTGACATGTTAAATTGACATATTTTGATTTAATTACACACACTAAATCTAACACCATAAATAATTGATTCACTGGACATGATCTTATTAGACATTCAGTCTGTCACCATGATTCACTGATTGCTAATATAAACTTACACATGTATGTCAGCCATTTTCATATTGATGTTTTCCAATATATATTCCATCTTTGATATCAAAATCATATATTATATAATATTATTGTATTAAGTTTCTCTTAAGTTTATCTTAAAATGTGTTCTAGACATAAAATGAAAAAAACATTCTCTGTGCACATGTAAACCATTATATTTTGAATAAAATCTACCAAATTACAATGGTTAAGGACTGATGACAATGAAACTATTTCAACGATTTTTTCATAGAAGAGCGCTAACCTTGCAAAGCACCACAACAAATGTAATTGTGAATCAGATAAGAAATTCAAGGGTTATTTTTGTTATTGTCCAAGATGGCCTACAAATACATGAGTAATATTGCTATGATTGTTCCTTACATAATAAACAGATATCATACCAGAATCATGTCAAAAACATTAACTAGTTTACCTATAAATTTATTCTTCCAAAACGATACCTTGTATTCATGACTAAGAAAAAAATTATAATTTTTACATTATGTTTTTTTTCAGCTTTTATTTGTTTTGCCCTTTATCCTATGGAATGCATGGTCCAATGTCTGATAATATTAACAGTACAATGGCAAGTCTGAAATGGATGGAGTCATGGGAAATATAAAGAATTAAAAAACTGTACAATTTTCATTCATTATGGATTACTTGGATGTATGTATGTAAAGTTGATGTATTTGTTAGGATTTAAACCTTGCACTGAGTGAAATTAAAATTGTTAACACAAGTGCTGTGATAGTGTGTGCAGTTGATTGAACATTGTCATAGTGTAAGGCCTGCTTACACCGCACAGGGGGTTCTTTTACTGCTAGTGTGGTGTAGACAAGACAATAGTACTGGAAATGAAATACACATACACCAAAATATTGAGTTAAAGCTCCTGGCTTTAATACCTCTCAAAATAATTACAAGATATAAAGCACAGATAAATACAATGAAAAGAGTCACTAAAATAAGGGACGACAATCAATGGCTTCTACAACACAACAACAAAGTAATACAGGAGTCTTGCTTGCAAAGGAACGCAAGTATTCTGGAGGGCACCGCTGAAAGCATGAGATCGCCGAGCAGTTCATACAAGTCTCACAGAATGATGGTTGTAGCCTGTATCACTTTTCACACAAGATCTTGGCAGCAAACACTGGATACCAAGTTGAAATGATGGACCCCAAACAGTCTGTCCAATCTGTGGG